AATTGTGATTCATATCGAAAAGCTAATCAAACTTTATTGTTTGCTTTGCTATTCTCTTTGCAACTCCGTTAACAATGAAACAGTTAATTGCTCGCAAAACAAGGGGAAATTGAAGAAAGCAATTTATGGTCACGTGACGAACTAACTCAGTAGCTAAATTAACAATTTTACAGTTCAATCGGGGCGCTGGCAAAGGCTTTCAATGCATGCCAAACAATTATGAAGATTATATCATGGCAACCAGCTGGGGTCGAGCGCCCTTTCATGGCCAAGCCCAATCAGCATGGCCTGACTGAAGCCAGGCATAGGGCTTAGTTCATATTGGGTTTGGGGCTTCTATTGTTTGATCGTTGCAGTTGCATTTGCAACACGGCCCCTTAGATAACTTTCGAATTCGAGAGGCGAGCCAGCTGCAGAATACTGGTGTTAAATTACCAATATAAATCAATGTGCTCTGTGTCTAATCGCACTCGTGCGCCCCGCACAATGGCCACAGACACCCGCATCTCAAAAAGAACTCAAAAGCCACTCAAACGGCAGCCAGCCAGAGAGGGGAGAGTCTCCAAAGAGCAGCTGGAGCAAAGGGCGAGCCGCCAGTGAGTGGAGCCTGGGGCCGGTTTTTAGAAGATCGCCTATACCCTGGAAAACCAGTTGAACAACTTGACTTGATTCTTAAGACTTTTTCTTTCTTTCAAAGTGAGTTGGTTTCTCTTCTATTTATTTTTTCTCTTCTTCTTCTTTTTTATTTTTGTCGCTCTCTCAAATCTTTTATCTTTGAGTGCAACTCAACTGGGCTCCAGCTTAAGAGAGGGCTCAGCATTGTTTTATTTTATTTGTATTTATTTTTTTTTAGGGCGACATTAAAACACACAATTCGTGTTTGTGTGTTATATTTGTGTGGCTGTAACTGCTCCTCGAGCGGATCGAACCTTCTTTTATGGCTTGTAGCATGTGAAACCAGTTTCTTTATGTGTAGAGATTCTTTATGGGGGAACTCTGCGCTTGTGTTTGCCTTAAATTGTTGCTTTATCTCGGTTTCTTTCATTGGCATTTCGTGTTGTTGTTGTTGTTGTTGTCGGCCAGAACTGCTCTTCCAGAAATCGGTTTAAAGGATTTGTGTTGCGCATTTGTGCGCATAAATTGCAGCTTAAGGTGCTTCAAAATGTCTTCATAAATATGGCAAAAATATATAGAGCCCTAACAATGACATAGACATAATAGATTGTATGATCTAGTCAGAGGTAAAGCATTAATTATTTAAGGAATTATT